CATCATATCAATTAAAATCTAAGTAGCAACCGAAAACGGTTGTAGTGTTTCCACTGGTGACTGAAGCACAGTAGTAGTAGACTAGCATATGCTTATCAGGAATTGATGGCTGACCATGTACGTCCACCCCTCTGAATTCTGAGTAACCAAATTTTAGCCATTTTTTTACACCTTCAAATCAAGGAAGCAACTTAACATGTAGTATTTCCATTGAAATAAAGTTAATAAGGATAAGCTATTATTGTAACTAACTAGAATATGCTAATCTGTAGTAACTGTCCAACCATGTGTACTTTATTATAGGCTTGCAATTCAATATTCTATAGCACTTTAGTCAGTCGTGACGATTTGTTTTTATATGCACATGATTATAGTTATCATTATGTTATCCTTTTTTTTTTCTTTGAGGAAAAATCCTTGCCATATGTCATCCGATTTGATATGTGTGAAAGTTTCTTTGAACAAGATTGAAGAGTGCAGTTATTTTGGTAGGCCTACATGTATTTACGTCTTTTGGAAATATTTCAGCGGGAAGTCCACCAGAGCCACCGCCCTAACCGAGAGGCTAACAGACTTGTTCGCTCTATGCTGGGAGAAGTGCGTGGTCCCACCTGAATTTGGAGACTCCGTTATTATAGCCCTATACAAAAAGGGTGACAAGTCTAACTGCTCCAACTATCGAGGCATTTCACTTCTGTCAGTAGAAGGAACGATCTTTGCTCGAGTGTTGCTCGACAGACTAACCCACTCTTTAGAGGACGAGGTCTTATCTAAAAGCCAATATGGTTTCAGAGCCGGTAGAGGTACATCTGACATGATATTTGCTCATATACACATTTGAGACCAAAAGAAAATTCGCTGCCGAAGACAAATGCAGACGGCGAAAAGAAAATCTAAATCGACCACCTGCGGACAATGGTTATGCTTGCCCTGATGTGGCAAAATATGTAGGTCGTAGCCACGGGAAATACTGCACTCCTCTATAATCTTCGGACTCGAAAACAAGCCTTATTATTTACGTCTTGTGAAGTTGCGGTCATTGCTAGCGCTCGATACAATCGCAGGTTAAATACGTCTACCAGTTTAGGATAGAAGAGATATAAAAAAGTTCTTCCCATGTCATCTGAGTCAAAACTTTGATTTTTATCGACGGAGCACTGGCAGCAGCATTAATTAGCTGCGTTTTCTTTGTATTTCGGTATGCAGATATCTCTGGCACTGAATAGATTTGTTGAGGTGATTGTTTTCGAGAAAAATTCATTGTTTTTGTCCATGTTGTTAAGAGAGACGCACTGTGTCTAGCGTTATTAAGTACAGTCTAGACAAGTACAAACTGCTCGGCCAAGGCTAAGATGGCTGCCCAGTGATTGGTAGCATTCAGGATTGTGTTCAGGCAAGGATTAGTGAAAAATATCCACAAATACAGACCTTGTCCGTCGCAGTTGTTATGATTGACCTGAATGACGTTTCAGATATACGTTATGCTGTTGGTGTCGTCAAGAAGATTATCTATTTTTTCCCGTAACAGTCCCAAGCAAGAGCGGTGGTGCTAAATTTACCTCTTTTGTGTGAGACGATGGACTGAGAATTCATTCGCGCTTTAAGTTACAACTTTAAGAAGAGCTTTCTCTGTTTGGCATTTTTTAAAATAACGGTTTTAAATGAAACCAGACAAACTGCATATGTGTAATCGGTGCCTGCTTCTCATGTGTTTCTAATTTGTCTTTTAATTGTCGTCAATAATTCATCCATTCTTGAACCAGTTTCCGTGATGTTGCAGTCTTTCCATCTAAGCATAAGTGGCCGCTCAACAGCACACCATCAGTCACATTAATGACATAATCAAAAACCAACTTGACCATGGCTCTGAAGGAAAGGACAGAGCGAGCGACCTGCCTCTAAACCAATAAGCGTCATTATCCCGGTCATAGCTAATTACCAGGCTCATTACAATGATACTAGTCGACCGGCGGCGTAGCATACGCCGCTATTTTGCATGGCAGGTCTTAGCCCACTGCAACCTATGCGACCGCAGTGGGCTCCCACTTTCATAGGGCCCGCGCTAATTCAAGGTGTATAAATTATTAATTTAAACCATTTTATAACTTAAAACAGATTTCCCTCGCCCTCCTGTCGATTTACCCGGAGCTCCTGGAAATCTCCCGAAATCTCAAAATATACGAAAAAGTCCTTAAAATATAAGGAAATATATACACTAAAATGGTTATTTTGGGGTGTCATTCAATATGGAAAACGCCAATCTTACGCGCGGCATTATGCATCAGCCGTAATTGTGTAATCCGGTGAAAGAAGCTTCTCGCGCCTCAAACTAATAAAGAATTACTTGAGGTCAACAATTCTCAAAGTTAGATTGAAACATTTGGTAATTCTTGCTATTGAGCGTGATCTATGTAGGAAACAGAATTACTATGATATACTGTATGACTTTGCTATACGCAAGGCTCGTAAAGTAATTCTGTACGTAGTAAAGAATGAATAAAATGCATAGACGAATTTATTTTCTAATACGAACTCTTAAATTTCCAAACCTCCCGCAAGACAAATGGGGATGGGAGCGGGCAGGGTTTGATAAATTTAAATGACAGTCAAGCGCGCAGCCAGTCATCCGTAGTGTGAATACTACTACTCGTTTTCTGGTGACTATCTGCAGAAATAAGAGAGTGATCTTTCCTTTACTTCTTGTTTAAACTGTTGAGGGAAGAAGAGAATTATACATATAGAAGATAGATGATCCATTGTAACTTAGCAACTGAAGGATGCCTTAACAAAAAAAAAAAAAAAAAGACTTTCCCCTCCCCCCCTTTTTAAAAACTTTTGTCATTGCATAAAGTTTTGGATATTTTTTTAAATGAAATTTCAACCGAATTTATTTTTATCAAAATAATAATGATACACAATATTTGTTCCGGTATCCATCTACTGTTACATTCTTTATTAAATTTTCTGATTTGCAAAAGTGCCATTTTTTTCTTCCACTGGGGTATCAGCCCCTTGAGGATGTCATCTAATGCAGCCCACACCAATGTTTACCATAGTGACATCACTGTATTTAAATAGTGCTGCTATTGTTCCAGATTTAAAAGGACTATATTTTTATAAGTTAAGCAGTCCCACTGAAATAGTGTTGCTATTGTTCTGGTTTAACACAATCATTTATGTCAGTGTTACCCACATTTTTTCCTTAACAGAAAACTTCGCACATTCTGAGTTTTTAGCATAACACTTTGCTTATTTTTATATTAGTTAATTATTCCAGTAGTTTCCGCGGAACACAGTATGGGAGAGATTGAATTATATTATATGTAATATGTAATTTATGGTAAACATTAACTCGTATTAAAATTAAAATACAGTTTCAGTTTCATACTAATAACTTTAAAAAAAAGGTTAAGAAAAAAGGTTTTACATTTTATTCATTTAGATGAAACTGTGGTAACATCAACAAATTAATATCACAATCGGTTCTTTTTTCATTAACAATTAATCAGGTATGAATTTTTAATTTCTTTAAAACAAAAGCATTTGAGATTTGTACAAGTACAGCATTGAATATTTACAGCAGTTGATGTAAGCAAATGTACAATATAAGTATATACAACTATGAAAGATGAAAAAAATCTATTACTTTAAAGACAATTTTTGAGTCATATGTATTTATATAGTTGCATATAAGACACAAGATAATAAAAAGCCTGCAACGTAATCCATTATCACTAAATTACAGTGACTAAATGCATTGCTCGTAATTTTTTATAATGATCATATAAACGAAACATACAAATATTTCCTCCAAAACATAACCTAACTGTTCCTAACTTTTCAATAAGAAAATGTAGTAGAAAATTAATTTGTCCAAACAGAAATATTACACAAAAGAATGTGTACAACTTTTACGCTCTAATAATACTGGTCACAAAGTAGAAAAAAATGTAAACAGCAAATAGTTTAATATTAAAAAGTAATACTTAGACATTTGTAATGATCTACAAAAAAAACAACAACACTATAGCAAGATAATTAGCGTTATTTGTTAAGTTTCACATTACAAAATATTATTGAATCATGAGGCAACGATTTTTTGTTAAAAACAATCCTCAAGTAATATCTTGCAATAGATTTTCCCCAACTCTTTTTAAAAAGAAAAAAAATATTACAAAGGTTTCTACTTTTAAAGCAGAACTGATATGTAAAGCTTATCAGTAATACATATAAAATTTTATATTTACATACATGGTGTACATATTATATACAAAATGCATATGTCAAGAGGATGTATACACAGTTTTTTATGCACATATACATGTGGAAAAAAAAGGAATGGAATATGACAGTTATATTTCTTAAAGGATTTCTTACTGTGGAGAAGTTTTGTTTCAAAACATAAATGATTACTGTATTCATTTTTTTTATTTGTAACAAGTCAAAACCACTATAAAACTATAGTTTTATATTTTAATATACATTTTTTCCCCCTGAAGAAAAAAATATACCAGATCTAAATTAAAATAGAAAACTAAAAAATGTACAGTAACAATAGCCTTGCCCAAGGCAATAATACAGCTTATTAAGAGACCCAAAATTATCTAAACCTTTTCTTATTGATTTAAACTGAAATTATTTTTAAAACACTTAAAAAAAATTATGTTGATACAAATTTTGTAAATTATGATAAATCTGCAATAAAAAAATTAAAGGTCAAGCATTTTTCATTCATAGGGAGTTTCAAAATTAAACTGCGAGAATTAAATGTTTTTTATAAGTAAGTAAAAGAATGTTTCTGAATGCAATATGGAGTGCCATGCAAGTTCAGGATGTCTTAATTGAAGACATACATTCATTTAGTAAAGCCCATTTCTTGACCGGTATTTTTTTTTTATAGTGCTGAGTTCTCGACTAAGATTTGCGACTTTTCTTGATAGTGAGGCCTCCATTTTGATCTCCACTTTCAACTTTCAAAATAACTGAGTTAACATAGTCTGTAGTATTGCCAGCTATTCTGTCTTCTGAAAAAGAAAAGTGCGTTTTTTAAATAATACTTTATAAAAACAATTTAAAAATTTTTAAAACTGGTTTTATCATTTCAAGCTTTCTATGATCTAAAAAAAATTGTTACTTATAACATCTATTAATAAGTGCATTAAACCATTTACAAGCTCAATATTTCAAAAATGTGCTAACAAGACTTACTGATGGACTGGGCAATAGCAGCTTCCAACATGCTAGTTAAAGACTTAGATGGTGAGGTCAAAGAAAGTTTGCTTTGTTCTAGAATACATTTAGCTCTTTCTTGAATGTAAGGCCAGAGATAGTGAAGCACTGAGTTGAGCTGGCCTAAAAAAAAAAAAAATTAAATTAAATAATGTAAGTACAAGTAATTTTAAGTCACACAAGTCAAAAACAAGAAATAAGTAACTTTTTCTTATTTTACCTAGAGTCTCACATGGCATGATCCAAGTTTCAAGCATTTTTTTTTGTTAAACAATTTACCATCAGATTTATTTTATTAGCCCCCCCCCCTCCCCCAATAAAAAGTAAGTACTTATTATATGGGTGGACTTGAAGCTGTTGAATTGATAATTTAAAAATAAAAAAGACTACCCAAGAATTTAAACTCATAATAAGACCCTTTGTTTGTTAATCAAGAACATGGGCTTACACTTATCATTGTTTCAAATATAACAGATTTTTTTTAAAAATTAAATCCACTGAAGTCAAGATATAACTAGCTTACCATGCTCCTGTTCAAGACCATAGAGTTTTATTTTGTTTGCTTCATGCTGAGCCTTCTTTTTTAGCCTGCAAGCCCTGGATGCCAGTTTGTTCTTTTCTTTACGAGATTCATTTCTTTTGGCTGTTGGCACATCAGCTCCCAACTGACAAGCCATAATTTGACGATTGAGCTTCATCAACTGATGACCAATCATAAAGAGTTTTTTAGGGTTTGGGGTAATCTCATTGCCATCCCCTTTTCTGGCTTTGCCACCATGTCTTATACCAGCAATAGTTGTGTTACACTCATCAAAAACTGGATCTTCAAAGTCATTCAACACATGAGGGTCAGCTGGTGACTCCACAGCAAGCTTAAGTCTAGTCCCTTTAGGACCTTTAGACTGGACATTGTATTGCCAAAAGAACTGTTTCTGTTTTTTACCAGTAGCCACCAGAGATTCGCAGTCTTTTGGAGAAATCTGGGCAATGTCTGCATCTGATCAGGAAAAAAAAAAATGCATAAAATTATGTGATACCTTTTTTCTTTTTTAAATTTTATTTGCATTAATTATACTTTTAAAGTCTTAGAATAGCAAATATAGATAGGATTTTGAAACAGTATTTGTGGACACATATTGAAGCCTTTCCCCTCTAGCCACGTGACTCAGAAAAATGTTGAAAACAATTGAAAAACAAATAAACGCTGTCTTTGACAAATGCAGGGAGGTCAATGTTAAGAAATCAACCAAACATTGCAAATATTGAAACAAAAACAAACATCCTGGGTTCAAAGTTAAGGATCTAGCTATGATGTTCAAAAGAATATGTGAAAATATGGGATATTTTTGTGCAAAATACATACCGATATCTGAATCAACATCATCGTAGTCAGAGTCATCATTATCTTTGTCATCATCTTCATCATCATCCTCTGAAATATGGCTTGAACTCCCAGAGTCTGAAAATAAATGAAGTATTTGTTCTTTATTTTGTTTGTTTAAAAAGCTTATTGATAAGACTATTTAGTGTTACAAATATAGCCTTTATAGGAAATGAATATAGATCATGAAAAAATAAAAATTGTCCTTCAAAATATTAAAAAAAAAATTAAACTAAAGCAAAAGTAGCACCATGGTGTAAAAAAAAAAAAAAAGAGAAGATATTGTAGGTTCAAAATTGAAGATAGACAAATAAATATATAAGCAAACAATAGCAAAGATACAAGTTATGAAATTTTCCAAAACTTTCCACAGTACGAACTTATCACACAATCCTGATAGTTTTAAAAATTCCAGTTCAATAAAATATGAAAAAGTTATCCATAGTCATTAAATAAATTATAAATCAAGAATGACTTCTGTTACAGAAGTTGGAAGATTATAATGATTTATTTACAAAATGAAATCAAGTACACATTTCATGTGTGTCAATTACATATAGAGCAGGCCACTTTACCTTTCAATAAACATAACACATCATTGCCAAGAACAGGCAGTGAACGTATGCAAGTTAAATCCATTGATTGAATGTTAAATCAGCTGACTCAGATCCTTTAAAACAAGGATCTTTTTTTAAATTATTTTTTTGCAACAAGGAACTATAACTAGGCCTAAATAGTTTTAAGTATACAAACAGCATTAGTTTCCCTTGATCACTTTTTAAATCAAAATCAATACATTTATTCAGGAATCCATTTTTTAGCTCAATTGTATCCCGATCTTTAAAATATTAAATGTAAATATGACTAAAAAATATATTGCTTTGGTAAGACTGACTTGAAATTAGTAAAACAAATACAGTAACTTGAAGAGAAAAAAAATATATCCCAATCTTTACGAAATGTGACAAGCGGCTCAATGGGAATATGAAAAGATCCCAGGATCCTCCTAGTGTAGAACACTCCTTAACACTTTGAACTAGGAGGTGGTAGTCACTCATCGCGGAACACTCCTTTACCGCATACAAAAAAAAAAGCGGATGTTTTTCAGTACACGGGGTTTTTAGGTGCCTGTTTGACCAGCTATTGTTTACAGTAGCTTGTCATAGACAGATAATGGTCTAATTCTAAAACTGACGTTAGTAACTACTCGTAGACCTAAAACCACGCGTGGTTACTGTGTTTTACCAGTTTACCTAAAAAATCGACCAGTCAGGCTTTTATTACCTAGTCCTAGACTCTATATAGAATCTAGGTTCTATAAACTTCACATAAAAAAAAAAATTAAACAAAAAAGTTAATATACAGCACATGTAGCCTAGATCTCACTCACCAAAAAATAACTTAGATCAGTGACCTTTTTTTTAAACGATAATAATTTTACAGCGCGAGTCAAAGCTACGATTTATAATTAGATCTAAATCTATATAGAGTAGGCCTTTAGAAATGTTTTGCAGATATCAGATAGATCCAGAAATATATATCTAGGCCCACAGGCCAACTAGGTCTATATTTTTGTCTTAAAAAAAAAAAAACTGTCTAGAATCTAGAGCTAGATATCACCCTAACACCATAAGCTGTGTCATATGTATATATTATAATACATACACCATTGTAAAAAAAATACACGAATAAATGTAATATAGTAGCATATGATCTAAAATAAAGCTGAATCTATTAAACTGATTAAACTTGTTTACAAGCAAATGAGTAATATATATATATATATTAGAATGATCTAGATCTAATATGAACAACGGGTTTACTTTAAGTAAATAGATCTATTTTAGTCAAATAATGGCAAAGTATTCCGACTAAATGAAATACTACTGCTTGTATTATTAACTACACGTGTTTAGTGTTTGTCTGCTAGTGCTATAGAGCACGTGACCTAGCAGTGACTGCTTACAAAACAAGCAGCATGGCGAGCCTATTTTGCTTCATCATTTAGGTCACCGATCTTTCTAGTGGAATAGTTGAAAGAAATAGTGTCATTTAAATTAGTATTTTATTCTTCCTATGTATATAGTCTAATTAATAACGGTAAAATTATCATTGCTATAATATTTCTACATAATGATGCACAATTAAAAAATCGATAGATCTAGCTCTAATGTTAAAAATCTACTTTAGATTTATCTAAATGGAACTTATCCAAGTAAACTTTGACCCCAACTAACTGCGCATCATCGAGCGAGCAGCAGGGACAGGATTAGTATAGGTTAGATCTCGATCTAGACGACAACTAATATTCTTGACCCTAGAACCTATATTAGCTTGTAATTAATTTGTACATTAGATCTAGACCTACAGTTCTAAATGTTATTCCAAAATATTTTGAATAAAATTGGGCTAAAAAAGAATTTCCGAAATTTACCAACAATTATTTTTTATTTACCATCACAATAAAAGTGGGTCAGGATGAATATAATGTAGGCTACTGGCTATTGTATCACGAATTTTTTTAATCGATCAAAACAAGATGTGACCAAATAAAAAATAGACTGAACTCTAGATTCTAGTAGCAGTACAATAGTAATAATATTTAAACTTAGTTTAAAATTGGAATAGAATCTACTATTAAATACACACTTCACACGGTGAGCTCACAAAAGGAGTCATAGTCATATGATTAATAATAATACATGTATGATTCAAAATTGTTCTCAGACTGAGTCATGTTATGAAAGATTCCATTTTCTGCTTAGACCTAGTTCTAAACTAAAAATTATTATACACAAAATATTTTAAACACGTCTTTAAGTGAAAAAGCAATTAATTTAAAAGCTTTTTTGTATATTATAAAATATTTTGTAGGTCCTATAAGCTTACTTTTAAAAGTGTAAATCTAGATATTCTAATTGCACTAACAAATTCTTAACTACATTAAAACCCTATCAACAGTGTAAAACCTGGTTAAACTTGGTATACTAATTGCAAGGGGGTTACTTACAGACAATGCATTTCATGTTTCAGTTAATAATTACGCATAATATTTCATAGATAGATTTGCAGGTTGATGCGAATCGCCCATTTTTATAAAACAATGTGGGATACATATGTCTCTAAAGCAAGGTCTAGTGATAATAGTGCCTAAAGTCTATATAATAGTAACTGTTTTGTGTGTGTAAGCAAACATACAAGTAATGGTTATGACATCAGTCAAGTCCTTGGGATATATAATTTTTTTTTTGTGACCAAAGGTTAACTAGTGCAAGATGCACATGGGCTCTACAACCAAAAATGTATCTACTTATACTTCATACTCACCATAGCGCCGTCTTTTTCTGACAGGACTATCCTGTTCTGGACTGTGTATGAATTTTTGAATGTCTTTCCATTTTTCCTCAGTGGATTCATCTTTTACCACAGTGTTGGATTGGGGAGATAAAGGTTCTTCTTTAACCTGACACACTCCTTTCATTTTCAGTATGTTTAAAAATGGCACAATCTGAGCGGTTTTATCACTTGAACTGTTTGAATCTGGTTCAGTTTTAATGTGAGTCTTCTTGGTCAAGAGTTCTTGAAGTGTATGGGATTGTCTCACGCTGTCATCCTCATTGTTT